GTGCCTACTGTCGTGCGCGAGGCATCCGCCAGTCCTTCACGCTTCCGGACTCCCCGCAGCAAAATGGGATTGCTGAGCGCCGCATTGGCATGGTCATGGACGTCGCCCGTACATCCATGATGCATGAGGCTGCCCCCCATTTTCTGTGGCCGTTTGCGGTCAGGTACGCAGCGCATCAGATCAACCTCCACCCCAGGGTCTCCAGGCCGGAGACCTCCCCAGCCCTGCTGTGGACGGGGAAGGTTGGCGATGTGTCGGCGTTCCGGGTCTGGGGATCTCGGGCGTTTGTCCGCGACTTGTCTGCGGACAAGCTGTCCCCTCGCGCTGCTCCCTGCGTCTTCCTGGGGTTTCCCCCCGACGCCCCAGGGTGGCAGTTCTACCACCCCACCTCTCGACGTGTTCTCTCCTCCCAGGACGTCACATTCGACGAGTCGGTACCCTACTACCGCCTCTTCCCCTACCGCACTCCGTCCCTCCCCCCACCCCCGCTCTTCTTGGTACCAGGTCCCCCCCCGGTAGACCCCCTCCCCCCTCAGGGTCCTGCCCCTTCAGGTGTGTCCCAGGTAGACGCGGTCGAGCCTGTCGAGGTCACTGGTGACTCTGGTGCTGCTGCGGGAGCTGAGCCTGGGGGTGCGGAGCCTGGGGGTGCGGAGTCTAGGGGCGCTGAGCCTGGGGGTGCTGAGCCTGGAGGTGCCGAGCCTGGGGGTGCTGAGCCTGGGGGTGCTGCGCCTGGGGGTGCTGAGCCTGGGGGTGCTGAGCCTGGGGGTGCTGAGCCTGGGGGTGCTGTGCCTGGGGGTGCTTCGTCTCGCCGGGAGCCACTCTCCCCACAGGAGCTGCGTGAGTGGTTTGCCAGGCGCTGGAGGCGTGCTGCTGGTGCTGGTGGTTCTTCGGATGCAGAGGGTACTGCTGTCGAGCGTCCCGGCGGTGCTCGTACTGTGGGTGCTAGAGCTGCTGGGTCTGAGGGTTCTCCTGGAGCTGGTGCTACTGAGGGTGTTGGCGCTGTGCCTGCCGCTGGCGGTCTTACTGACAGTGCTCCTGGTGCTGCTGCTGGAGGTTCTGGTGCTGCTGGAGGTGCTACTGTAGTGGGTGCTCCTGCTGGGGGTACTGGTGCTGTTCCTGCTGTTTCTGGCGTCGCCGCGCGGCCCCGACCGTACTTCGTTCCGCTCCTGCAGCAGGTTCTTGGTCTTACACCTCCTCCTCCCTTAGAGGGTCCGCAGCCTGTCCGGTCACAGCCACAGCTACAGCCTCCCTCCCCTTTGCCTGCTCCTTCTCCCTACGCTGGTCCGACTGGAGGTCTTACTGAGCGTCGTGAGCCTGCGTCTCGTCCTGCGTCGCCTGTTCGTACTTAGCGCGCTAGTGGTCGCGGGTCGCGTCAGCGTCCTCCTCCTGTCCCTGGCACGCACCGGATGTCACTGCGTCCGTCCACTGCTCCTCTGCGTGCCCCTTTGCCTTCTCCTCCTGCTTCCTCTCTTCCTGCTCTTGCCGACCCGGAGTCGGACTCTCTTCGTGCTGCCAGTCCTACTGTCACGCGTCTCCTTGCGACTGCTGTCACTGACCCTTCCTTCGAGTCGTCTGCTGCGTCTGCCCTTGTCACTAAGCTTGTCGACTTTGCTGCACGCTGTCGTCTAGACTACGCTGCCAGTCTTGTCGCTGAGTCTGAGTCTGCCTGTCCTCCGTCCGTCGGGAGTGAGTGTGCCCTCGGCACGGACGTCCTAGAGGACAGGCAGGAGGAGTTCCAGTGTCTGGCTGCCGCTTCACCTCATCTCGCGTCTGTACTGCTAGCCCCTGAGGGAGACCCGGATGCACCAGACATCCCGACTCCGCGCTCTTACGCGGAGGCGATAGAGGGTCCCTACTCCTCTCAGTGGCAGGCAGCTATGGATGCAGAGATGGCTTCCTGGAAGTCCACAGGCACCTACGTCGACGCTGTTCCCCTTCCTGGGGCGAACATCGTCAGTGGCATGTGGATTTTCAGGGTGAAGCGGCCGCCGGGTTCACCGCCTGTCTTCAAGGCGCGTTACGTGGCTCGTGGCTTCAGTCAGCGGCAGGGGGTTGACTACTTTCATACCTTCTCCCCCACCCCGAAGATGACTACTCTTCGGGTTCTGCTGCACGTTGCTGCTCACCGTGACTACGAGCTGCACTCTCTCGACTTCAGCACAGCTTTCTTGCAGGGCAGTCTGCACGAGGAGATCTGGCTGCGTCGCCCACCTGGCTTCACTGGGTCTTTCCCTCCTGGTACCCAGTGGAGTCTCCGGCGTCCAGTCTACGGTCTCCGCCAGGCGCCACGTGAGTGGCACGACACACTGAGGACTACGCTCGCGGCACTTGGGTTTGCTCCGTCTACTGCAGACCCGTCGCTGTTTCTGCGCACCGACACCTCTCTGCCGCCGCTCTACATCCTCGTGTACGTCGACGATTTGGTCTTTGCCACAGCTGACACTGGTGGACTCGCCTACGTGAAGTCCGAGCTGCAGAAGAGACACACATGCACTGACCTGGGTGAAATGCGTAGCTACCTTGGCTTGCAGATCACCTGGGACAGAGCGCGCCGCACCATTACCCTGACTCACTCACACATGGTGCAGCAGGTCCTTCAGCGCTTCGGCTTCACGTACTCCTCGCCTCAGGCCACTCCTCTGCCTACTCGCCACTCACTCTCAGCTCTGCCTTCGGATGAGTCCGTAGAGTCGAGTGGCCCGTTTGCAGAGCTTGTTGGCTGCCTCATGTACCTGATGACCTGCACACGTCCTGACCTTGCATACCCTCTTAGCATTCTCGCACGCTATGTTGCTCCTGGGAGACATCGACCAGAGCACATGGCTGCAGCGAAGAGGGTGTTGCGCTACTTGTGCAGCACGTCGGGCATGGGGCTAGTGCTTGGAGGGCGCAGTCCAGTGGTCCTCACTGGGCACGCGGACGCTTCTTGGGCTGACGACCAGGCTACGCAGCGGTCGTCACAGGGTTACACCTTCAGCCTTGGTTCCGGCTCTGTTTCGTGGCGGGCTACCCGCTCGTCTTCTGTTCTCGGCTCCAGTTGTGAGGCTGAGATCTACGCCGGGGCTATGGCTGCGCAGGAGTTACTTTGGCTCACCTACCTGCTGACCGACCTTGGAGAGCAGCCTTGTCTCCTCCAGTCCTGTACGTAGACAACAAGGCCATGCTGGCCTTGTGTCGAGAGCAGCGACTAGAGCACAGAACGAAGCACATTGCTCTCCGCTACTTTCTTGCTCGTGAGCTACAGCAGCGTGGACAGTTGCGACTTGCGTACGTGGCCTGTGAGGCCAACACTGCTGATGTCTTCACCAAGGCACTTGCGCCTTGTGATCATCAGTGTTGTTGCACGCAGTTGGGTCTTGTGCCTGTCTTGCCTCACTTGCTCTCCTCTTGACCTTGCTTGTACCTTCGCCTATATATACTCTTGTTCTTGCTTGTTTGCCTCTTGTATATCTCTATGTATGATCTTGCATGTGAATTGGCCTTCTGGCCTTTGAACTTGTGCTCGGAATGCGTGGTGACTTTGTGATCCACCCTGAGCTTTGCTTTGCTTTGCTTGACTGGTCTTGTGACCCCTTGTTCTCCCCCACTTTGCCTATGGGGGTGTGTCAGAACATATAGCTTACTTGTTTCTGTAGGCTATAGTGGGGTATCCCATAAGGGGTACAACCCAATCAGGGTTTCCCATTTGTACTCACTTCGTTTTTAGTCATTTCATTCTCGTTCACTTCTTCTCAATATTGGTTGCTTTGTGTAGGCTATAGTGGGGTAGCCCATACGGGGTACAACACAATTAGGGTTAGTATTTGTACCCAACTTCTGCTCAATACATTTATTCTCGTTCATTCTCCTGACATGGTTTCAGAGCAGGTCCTTCGCTAGGACCGTTTTTTTAGGGCTCACCACAGCGCTGCCCCACGAACTGCCCTGCCCTTAGGTGTTGGGCTGAGAAAATCCCTTAGGATCTTTGCAGGACAGAATTCAAGGGTAGGATGATGTAGTAGCGGAAGCATTTAATAAAGACTTGTTGAACCACCTTGTACTGATTTGTGAGAACAAGATAAGTTGAATAATATCAAAAGATACAAGCTTTTATATGATTACAAGGAATATGAAAGGTTCTATTTTAACTGTTTTGCTGTTGCGGTTCGATACAGTGCCGACCAGGGCTCTCGTTAGCAGACTAAAATAGTCTATTGGTCTAGGTTTCAGGCACAAAATGTATAGTTCATATGTTGCGGCAGACTTTGCCTTTGGGGCCATATGAGAGCCCAGACAAATGCTATATGCTCATATGTTTTTTCAGGAGAGTTATAGCAAGGGAGCTGATCAAGCAGAAATCGCGTATAGTTTCGTATGAAAGAGACAAACTGGCCCACTTGGCCATTGGAGCAGCGATGCGTTGCCTGTGTGATCACGCGTAATGCTATTTGCGTGTGGGCGCGGGGGTTAGTTTTGGATTTTTCCTGCCAGCGCACTTCGCATCTGACTCAGTTGCTACCACGCATCTGTCAGGTAGTTGTTGTCGGCGCCGCTGCCACGTTTCCCCCTCCCTCGCTGGCAGAGTGCAAGGACAGTCGGTGTACAACCAACAAGGCATGCATGGGCTGCCATTGCACTTTCGTGAGACCCTCGTCAGAGAGGTGCGGTTCGTGACAAGACGGTCCTTACCACCCATCCTTTCTTCTCCAAGCCTTTCTTTGAACATCCTTGCTCTCTCTCCGTTTCAATTCGTCCCGTCTTGTCCTCATGTGTCTCACCACACAACACCATGCTAGCCGAACATGGCGCACCCACCTCAACCGACAACGCTAAGCGTGATTCACCCGCGGTACCTGAGGCGCCCCTGGTATCCGCGTTAGATTTCTTAACGCGGAAAGCTCCCGCCGCGATTCCAGTAACCACAACTGCCACAGTAGGGACTCCTCCGCCTATAATTCCTCCCCCCAACGTCATTTCGTCCTGCAACAACGAGCCTATTATCCCCTCGCCATCCACGTCAGATGCGGCAGAGACCTCGACCCAGCCTAGCACGGCTGAAGCTGAGTCGTCGCCCCCGCCCGTTTCGGCATCTGTGGCTACCACCGCACCTGCAATCTCTTTTTCTCGCGTTAGAGTTGGGAACGGCAATTTCAAACAGCGTATTCTCAGTTTTGCCTGTCCCACTCCAGGTGTCGCCCCAGCTACCGTCCCCCACTTCACACCTCGTCCAGGCCCATCAAAACCCGCCGCCGCCGACAAGGACGACAAGTACCCCCATGTCCTGACCGTCGAGCAGTGGCAGGAGAAGGCGAAGGAGAAATGGCTCAAGCACTTCCCGTGGCTCATCATCTCGCAGACCTCATGGGGTCAACCCTGTATGAGGTGCTCAATCTGCATGGTGCACGGTGACCCCAGCTACCAGTACGGCCGTGACGGGGAGGGTGGGCTCGACATTCAACGACAGACGATGCGGAAGCACCAACATTCGATCAAGCATGAGGCGGCAGTGGACCGACAACAGCTACGAGACAGCAAGAATGCGGCTCAGAAGACTATTGTCGACTTCGAAAACGGTGACGCGGAAGCCAACCGTTTGGCAAAACTGTTGGCAACAGTTATTTTCATTTGCAGAAGTGACTCACCCATTGTGCTGTTTGTGTTGCTGGTCCAGTTCATGGCAGAAATGGGCACGCCGGACATGCCCCTGAAGGATTCCGGCACATATTACAGCGAGTAAGTGTTGGTATGCTTTGGGGGACCCGCTTGTTAAAACCCGCTTGTTTCTAAGATGGTTTTTTCCTGATCGTTGCAGGTACGGGTTCGCGCAGCTGGTCGAGATACTCGTCGTCTACCTTCGTGCTCAACAGATGAAGCACATCCGGGAGAGTCCTTACCTGGGCATTCAGTTGGACGAGAGCACGGACCGTCGACGCGGAAGACACCTCATCGTCTATCTGTCATTCCTCCGCAACAACACGCCAGTCACTGAATTCTTCGCGCACCTAACAGTTGAGCAGTGCGATGCTGGTTCCTTGCAGGCAGTCCTTCTAACCCACTTAGAAGGAACCGGCCTCGAACTTGAACGCGTCAGTGGCATCAGCACCGACGGTGCAAGCGACATGGTCGGTTCTCAGACGGGCCTGGTGGCGCGCCTTCGAACACGGATTCCACACCTCGCCGGGTTCCACTGCGTCGCGCACAGGTGTGTAACCCGACATCTGTTATTTTTTCCATGCGTTGCCTGTTTATCTAACTTATCGTTTTTCCCGTGTTGTGTCAGGGAAGCTTTGGCGGCAAAGGATGCCGCCGAGGCCTACCCCGACCTTGACCTCGTCGACAGAGTCGTCCGCTCTTTGGCGGAGCAGCTTGGACGGTCGGGAAACTTCCACCTACGCTTCAAAGAGCTGCAGGAGGTGCTCTACCAAACAAACCTGGAGCTGCAGGGCATCCACAGCGTCAGGTGGCTTTCACGTGGTCTGGCAGTTCAGCGTCTGGCGGACAACCTTCCAGCAGCTGTCATTCTGCTGTACGAGAACAACCCGAAGGCCTACCTCCTTGTAACCAGCTTTAAATTCCACTTCATGCTGTTTTTCTTGGCTGATGTGTTGAAGGAACTCGACGCACTCAACCTCAAGTTCCAGCGACGGCAGGTACGTTGTTACGCTCGTTGCTTTGACGGGTTTTGTATTGTGATGTTGAACCGAATTTCTGTGACACTGACCCGTGCAAGCCTTTCCACGGCCTCTCATATGTGTGGCAGGTTGATGTGACACACGTGCTGCAGATGGTGGACAACACCAGGCTCACCCTCCGCAACCGTTACCTGAGTGACGCGGACAACTTCGGAGAGGGGAGCAACGAGCTGAGCGCATTTTTGGCGAAGCATGCGTCGTTGGAGAAGAGGGTGGTGAAGGTGACGGGCACCGACTCGACTGGGGCGCCAACCACTCATGAGTACACCCTCCACGAGCAGAAGATTAAAGGTCAGAAATCTGGCAGGGGCTTGGACGACTGCATCACACTGACGAAGGGGTACGTGAAGGAGCTGCTGAAGCGTTTGGAGAGCCGGATGAAGGATTTGGGCTCTCTCAAGGGCGCCAAGCTGTTCACGCAGGGGGCGTACCCGGAATCTCACTCGAAGCGGTAGTGGCGGTTCTTGCAGTGGCTGGAGGCTCTCTGCAATCTGTTTAAGCGAAAACCGACCGACCCTGACACCCTGCCAGGTACGTCTTCGATGTCGGTTGTGCCTGATTGAGTCGAACATGTTGTTTGTGTCGCCATATGCCTCGTTGATTTCTTTGAGCCTGGTCGCTTATGAACACCAGCGCGGTCTAACATTATTCTTCTTTCTGATTCGCACCCTGCCACCAGGAGTCAACTAGACGAGGGCATAGAAGGAGCGCAGCAGTTTCACCACCATCATGTCAACCCATCAACAGGAGCTGAGCTTCCACGACGGCCTAAAGCAGATGCTCAGCTCCCCCTACTGGTGCACTGCCTACCCCAACCTGGTCCGCCTTTGGATGGCAGTCGCAGTGCTGCCCCTGAGCACCGTGGAGTGCGAGCGGGGCTTCTCCCGCCAGAACATCATCAAGAGCTGGCTACGCGGCAATCTTAACGACGCGAAGCTGGGCGACCTGATGACCGTCTCCATGCTGAAGTACGAACCTGACTGGCCCGCCCTTGTGGAGCTGTGGAGAGGCGCGAAGAGGAGGCGTCCAGCCAAGGATGTGGTGATGCTGCATGCGCAGAGGCCCGTGAAGCGCACGAAGAAGACCCTTGCGATGCTGGCCGCGAAGCAGGCGGCAGCAACAGCAGCAGCAGCAGCAGATGCTACTGCTCGTGTAGCAGCAGCTGCAGAAGAAGCAGCCAGGCTAGAGGAGGAGTTGGGCCCCTGGCAGAGACGGGCAAGCCACGGCAAAGTGCACATGGCTTCAGATTCAGAGCTAGACAGGGACGATGAGGAAGATGATTCTCATGATAGCGATACTGAATCCTGATTCGTATTCTTTGTATGGTCATCTGTAGAAATAGAATGTAGTCTGTGTGTAGAGTAGACTACATAGTTACATAAATGTCTGATTTCGTAAAAATCTGTCTGAGCAGACATACTAACTTAGAAAATCCGTCTGAGGCAAAGACCATCAGGAATCCTCCATATGAGGGCCAGACGATTTTTTTTTTTTTTTTTTTTGGAAAACGTCAGACGGGCCTAAAAGTTAGCAAGAGCCATGGTGCCGACTCGGGTAACTGCTCTGTAACGAGTCAGTTATATGTCATTGCTGTCGCACTGTGCATTTTGTCAGGTCAAAGGTCGGGGACCTTTGACCTTCGCGTAACCTCCGATAGTTGACTCGCGTGCTACTTCGCTGTAGTTAGTTCCGTTTTGTTTCTCAGCTTCGATACGACAGAGGCGCTATAAGTCACTTGTTTCCAACACTCCCCTTCGCTTCTAGAGTGTTGCTGCTGGTGACGTGGCTCTGTCCAGTCAGCAGCATGCAATGTTCGAACTTCGACTTTCCGAGCTTCTTGGTCAAGTAATCAGCTGCCATCTCGGATGTGGGGCACTAAGACAGCTCAAGTCTCCCCTTCTCGATCTCGTCCTTTACGAAGAAGTATCGTAGGGCGATATGCTTTGACCTATTCGCGAATCCATTTTTGTTGGCTATGCGAATTGCCGACTGGTTGTCGCAGAATAGGGAGAAGCTGGGTAACTGGGCTAGCTTCGCTTCCTCCAGTAGTTCGCGAAGGTACATTCCTTCCTTGGTGGCTGAACAAAGTGCAATATATTCAGCTTCAGCTGAGGAGAGAGCGATTAGTTCTTGTTTGCTCGACTGCCCCAAAATAGGTCCGATAGGTTCGAGGCGATAGATGTAGCCTGTGCGCGAGCACCTATTGTCAGGATCTCCGGCGTGGTCGGCGTCGACGTAGCCGATTAGCTTGGGCGTTGTAGTTCTGTTCTTGTAGTAGATCAGGCCGATCGTCGGAGTGCTTACGAGGTAGTGTAGAGCGCGATCAAGTTCCTTCATGTGATTGTCTTCAGGCCTTTTGAGGTAGGTGGCGAGTTGACTTGCTGAGTATGATAGGTCTGGACGGCAGGTGACGGCCGCGAATAGAAGGCATCCCAGCTTTCGCTGGTAGTTGCGTATCCCTGCGGGCTTTACTGGAGCGGATTCTTCCTTGTGACTTCCTGCCGTGTAGCGGTATGGCATTGAGATGGTACTTGGCGTGAGTGCGAACCGTTTGCCGATGGTATCGGCATATTTTGCGGCGTTGAGGTAGATCGCGCTTTCTCCTTCTTGGATATTGAGGCTGAGGTACTGCGTGACGGTAGATGAGACTGTGAGTGTGAGATCTCTCTGTAACTTTCCTTCGAACCAGGTAGTGACGTTGTCGGTCGACCCGATGTAGAGCAGATCGTCTACGTAGACGATTAGTAGAATGTAGTCGTTGCCTTTCGTGAACCGGTACATGCCTTGGTCGTGAGGAAGCTGTTGGAATCCGATGCGAGTGAGTCGAGCGTGTAAGTACTGCTGCCACAGTCTCGGGGCCGGAGCGAATGTCTCGGTGACATCGCGTCCGTGCTCTTAGTCGAAGCTGCGTACGACCCAGCATGCCTTGAACTTGTCGATGGTGCCATCTGCTTTCGTCTTCACACGGAAGACCCACTTCCCGGTGAGTATTGTCTTGTTTCGTGTCACGCCGATAGGAACAACTTTCCAGGTATTGCGCTCTTTCAACGCTTTTAGTTCCTTGTCCATGGCTTCACGCCATTTTTCCCTATACTCCCCCTCCAGAGCCTGCTGAACTGTGGCAAGCTCTTTAGGAGTTCCGGTGTCGTGGACCGCGGTGACTAGGCCGAGCATTTGAAGGCCACTCTGTGTGTAGCGGGGGACTGTTGTGTCCGCGGGATAAGCTGCCTCGTCACCTGTTTCTGGGTCAGGTATGAAGTTGGGCCCTATGTGTTCTGCTTCGTTGGTGTTGACTTCTGCAGGTGTAACGTAACTGGTGTCGGCGAGATCGAAATAAGTTTCTGCGTACGCTTTCGCGAGGATTTTCGTCGTCCATCGGGATAGGTACGGAGCAGTATGGGAGTGGTCCTGCTTTTGCCGAGGCGTTATCCACAATCTGCTCGTCCTAGTCAGCCTCGTCTGCTGCCGAGGCAAAGGCTCGATCACCACGGAAGCCACCTGTGGGGTCACGGTCTTCTTCCAGGTTGGCAAGGTATGTCGAAAGGGTGAGTCGTTCGTAGAAAATGACATCACGTGCTGCTACTGTTTCTTTGGAGTGGACGTCGAAGATCCTCCATGCGTTGTAATTTCTTTCGATGCCCAGGTGTAGTCCCCACTGTGCGCGTTGGGAAACTCGGCCGGCTCGTGTAGATGGGGGTCAGTGTCAGAATCCCAACCACTAGACCATTGGGATAAAAGGGCTTGTTAAGTAGCGGGTCAGTGCGCCCATAACCCCCCAGGCCAACGTGCCTATAACCCTTCCCTAGGATCAATCGGGGATCACCTGTGGACCTCTGACACCCCTCTGCACTGGGATGCCCGAAGCGCAAACACCGGGATTCGAACCCGAGACCTTCGCTCTGATACCATGTCAGAATCCCAACCACTAGACCATTCGGATAAAAGGGCTTGTTAAGTAGCAGGTTAGTGCGCCCATAACCCCCCAGGCCAACGTGCCTGTAACCCTTCCCTAGGATCAATCGGGGATCACTTGTGGACCTCTGACAGTCGGTACAGTACCATGCAGCCGAAAACTCATACCATTTTTGTGCTGCCCTGTTTCGTGTCCACAGCAGGTGCGGTGATGCGTTGTTCGGTAGTGATGACGATGAAAGTAAGTTGTGAAGCATGAAAGCGTGGTCTATCGCTTCAGGCCACTGGTGATTGGGCAGTCGCATGCCATGCAGTAATTTGCGCATGGTGTTCTGGAGAGTTCGATTCATCCGTTCCGCCACGCCTTGCTGTTGATGGGCGTAAGGAAGCGAGATGAGCCTCTTGATTCCCCTTTCTACCAAGAAGTGCTTGAATCTCTATGAGGTGTATTCTCCTCCTCCGTCTGACTGAAAGCTTTTCAGTTTCACGCCTGATTCTCGTTCTGCTACTGGGAGCCAAGCGATGAAGGTTTCGAAGGCCATGTCCTTGCTCGGAAGATTGAGGTGCCAAACGTAACGTGTAGCAGCATCGATGAACGTGATGGTGTAGCTGTATGCTCTTTGTCCAGGTTTGCGATTGTACAAGATGTCGCTGTACACTTTTTCAAGTGGTGCGTAAGTTGGTGCGCTGGAGTTGTGGTGAGAAGCGAAAGGCCGATGTGGTAAGTCAGCTTCGGGGCAGGTAAAGCATGTTCCACGCGCTCGTCGAAGTTTGCTTCCGTCGGTTAGAAGCAGTGAATCTTTGTCAAGTACTCCTGCTCGGATTGTATTGTTTAACACCGTGTTGCTTGGGTGTCCCATTTGTGCGTGCCAGATATCTTTGCTGGCGCGATGTCCGGGTGAGCGACGATACAGGTCGGAGTTGGAGTAAAAGGCGGCGGTCAAGTTGGCGCTTCTGTGTACTTCTCGTGTTTTTGGGTGAAGCTGTTGCGCGGGAGTCGGTGGAGAGTTGTCGATTTGAGGTGATGTATTTGAAGGACCGGCAATTGGAGTCTGTGCACGTGTGTCTCTTCTGTAGCTCCGACTTCACTTGGGCGAGTGCCTCAGTGTTAGCAGTAGCAAAGACCAATTCGACTACGTACACGAGAACGTAGAACGGCGGCAGAGTGGTGTCGGTGCGTAGAAACAGCGACAAGTCAGCAGTGGAAGGGGCAAAACCAAGAGCAGCAAGAGTCGTCCTCAGTGTGTCGTGCCACTCACGGGGTGCCTGGCGGAGACCGTAGACTGGCCGCCGGAGGCTCCACTGGGTACCAGCAGGAAACGACCCAGTGAAGCCAGGTGGGCAACGCAGCCAGATCTCCTCGTGCAGGCTGCCCTTTAGGAAGGCTGTGCTGAAGTCAAGCGAGTGTAGCTCGTAGTCACGCTGAGCAGCAACGTGCAGCAGCACCCGAAGAGTGGTCATCTTCGAGGTAGGGGAGAAGGTCTGGAAGAAGTCAACTCCCTATCGCTGACTGAAGCCTCGTGCAACGTAACACGCCTTGAAG